CTGGAAAAAAAAAAAGAAAACATAAAAATGTGTTAACCAAATTGTTTTCCAAAACCCCAAAAAATGAGATATGACTAGTTGGAGAAGTGACTTTTACTTGTTATCCAAATTTGGAAAATGTGGATGCTACAGTGTCGCTGCAATGAATTTGCATACTTACGCCTAGTGATGGATTCGCTCCCGCTCCGGTGTCAGTTCCAGTCTAGTCCAATCAATCACCCAATGATCCCTATCTGGTCTGGTCAATGACCCGGCAGTCCAGTCCATCATTGATCTGGCGGTCGCGATCCGATTCGGTCGACCACCCAGCGGTCCCGATCCGGTCCGATCCATGACCCAGCAGTCTCTGTTTGGTCCGGTTCACAACCCATAGGCCCCTGCCTGATCAGATCCACGATCCGGCGGTTCCTGTCTGATCCGATAAGTAATCTGACGGTCACTGTCCGGTCCGGTCCACGACCATGTGGTACCTGTTCGGTCCGGTCGATGGCCGTGCAATCCCGGTCCAATCCGGTGTGTTCAAGGACTCGGTGGTCCCCGTCTAATCCGTCCAATGACCTGGCAGTCCCTGTCATGTCTGGTCAACCAGATGACGGTCCCTGTTCGGTCTGATCAACGCTTTTGTTTAAACTTTACAAACGTAATGTTGTTTGGGCGTACCCTTGGGGGGTGATGCACATCCAAAACACTATTTCTGCCAAAACACAATACTACTTATATACTCCGTATAATGTATTTCCTCCGTTCATTTCATTTTTTGTCAAGAAGCTCATATTTTCATGTTTGTCGATGCACAACTTTGATCATCAATATATCAATTATTTTTTTTTGAAAAGAAACAAACTTATATTAAATCAATCAACCGAGAGTAACAACCATGTCCCAAGACCTAAATCTCCCCCTCTCCAAACAATACCAAAGCCCAATGGCCCTCCCACGTCATGACCAGACATAGAATAGTCCGTCCTGAAAAGAGCGAGACTAGTCGCTGAAATAGTGAGAGCATAGAGGCTATTAGCGGCTGAATCAGCCTGATTGCCTCCAACCAAAATTCTACCTAATAAACAAAATCAACACACATACCCTTCCCCCTTATTGTACGACGAAATAAAGACACAAACAACAAACAAGCTTAGTCAGAAAAGAAATAAGCAAAAAAAGTAAAACTTCAACCGTTGGAACTCTTTTGCATCCACTTCTTCTGAATCCTCTATCCATGGAGGCCGCTCAGGAGGGGGGCGGATTGCTAATACTTCATCCTCTTCCTCACCATTTTTCCTGGACAACATGGATTTTGCTATTCCTTCCCATTCGACACTGAGGACACTTCACTCTCGGGCCAATCTGCCGGAACTCTTCTCGAAACTTGCCTCCATTCTCGAGCCAAAATTGTCGAAGGAACGATGACTAAAGATCACCAACATCAAAGCTCCGCAACCTATCCTGCGCAAGAACACTGCAGCTTCAATGAAGATTCATCGCCTATTCCTTGCCGTGTACACGAAACGTCGAGCGATTGGAAATCGCCGACCCCAAGCTGATAGCCGACTAAACCCTAGAGAGCTTCTCTCTCTAGGCGGCACACGTATTGCTCTTTTTCTCAATATGTCAATTATTGAAAACCCTTAAGGGCATATTAGTCCATGAAAATTAAGTATGCTACAATATCATATATTAAAGGCAAGCATGCGGGCGGCCGCAGCGAGCAGGAAGGGTGACGGCCGCGGCGCATGGAGTGGCGGCGTCGATGGTGGAGCAGGTCTTGCGGCGATGGTGGCAGCGGGTGCTGCAGCGACGAGCTGGCGGGTACCGCGCTTACAGGGACGGGTGATGCCACGTCAATGGCTGGTGGCTAGGGTTGTGAGAAAAAGAGTGGAGTTTTGTTGATCTATGAGCATATTAGTCCATGAAAATTAAGTATGTTAGGGTATCATAAATTAAGAGCCCGTTTGGTAGCACGAAAATCGGCTGTTTTGGCTGATTCTGCTGAAATTTATGAAGTTCTAGTTGAAGTGGCTGTTTTAGCTGATTCTGCTGATTCAAGGAAAAAATATTTTTAAAATATATTTTATTAATAAATTAAAGAAAAAATTACATGTAAAAATAGCTAAAATGGTCCTCTGCATTAACTTCAGCCAATACAGCCAGAAAAGTAACTCCAACCTTACTTTTTCTGCTTATTACACAATTCAGCACACGAAAGTAAAAATTACGTGTTTGGTGAAAAAGCTGGCTGATAAGCCTGATAAGCCGAAAAAAGAGGTCTCCAAACGGGCTTTAAGTATGCTACGGTATTAGTCCATGAAATTTAAATCTGTTACTTATATACAGGGCCGTCTAATGAATTCGTAGGCCCCGGTTTCAAATGTAAAATCGAGACCCCACATTAATATAAAAAAGTATCAAAAAAATTTCAATCCAAATACATATACTTAAATTAATTGAATACTCATTAAATAATGTAATAAAAAATTTCTAAAATTGAATTAATATTTGATTTAAAGCAACACAACTCATTATTCAAGCAATTTGAGTAAAGAAAACTGAAACGACCAACGAAAAAAATGGTGAATCTATATTTTTCTTCCTCACTAACTGTGTTTTACTGATCAGTATTAATATATGTAGTATAATATTACGGAGTATTATATAATACTAATAAAATTTTGAAATTTTGGGGCCCCGTAAATTTTGGGGTCCTGTTCTGGATAACCTATTGAACCCCCTAAAAAACGGCCCTGCTTATATACTCCGTATTAGTCAATTATGTCAATTATATGTCAACTAATATACCCTTAATTTGTCCATGCCGCAGTCATCACCATGTCGCGGCACCACAGGTCCACAACAGCCCCGTATCTTCGGGCCTACCCGCAGCCGCAGTCATCTCCGCGTATGCTCGTTGTGGCCGTCTCCATGTCGTGACATCACAACTTTCCCCATGCCTGTGGCATCGCGGCTGTCCCAATGTCACGATCGTCCCCATGCTGCAGTGCCGTAGCCGTCTCCTTGTCGCGGCGCCCAGCCATCACCTCCATCCGCACAACAGCCATTACCTCCGTCCGCACGGCCGCACTCCAACTCACCACCGCCAAAATCCATTCTCATTTTTCTTTTCTTTTTTTTTTCAATCCAAAAACAAATAATATCAAATAGCATGTCCAGGCTTCAAAAAAACATGGATCTGTATACATCCACCCTAATGCATGTCCATTCTCATTTTTCTTTTTCTGGGCATTAAATATGAGTAGTGAACATAAATAGTGAGTATGGTCAGTGAACATGACAATAAATATGATTGATTATGCCAATATATAACGTCGTACATGGACACTGAATAAATGTAGGGGGTGGGATTTTGGAACCGGGAAACGTTAAAACGGTTGGAACCGAACCGTTATAACCCGGTTCGGTTCCTACAAAATTAGTTGTTAACGGTTCGGTTCCTAGTTGTTGTTAACGATTCGGTTCTCGGTTCCTATAAAAAATATATGCACGGAACCGTTAAAGAACCGATATTAAAAAAAATAGTAGCAGTATTCGTAGTAATACTAATATAACAAAAATAAACACAACAACAACAACAATAATAATAAATGAATGATATTTAGCCAATAATTATAATTTAATTTAATCTATGAAAACAAAAATAATAAATATTTGCACATGAGGTTGAATACATTAAGCTCATTTTTACAAATCAAGTTTTGTTCCATCAATAGGAGTAGAATGTAGTGATGCTTTTATATTTGTACATGCAAACTCAATGTATTTCTAGATTTTGAGAGGCATAAAATGTACTCTTATCCTTGCCACTATAATGATGAGCAACCTTCATTTTAATGACATAACCAACGATTTTTTATATTTTATGTATTAAATGTGAAGGATCGATCCCACAGCCGGGAGGCAGACTACCGATATTGTCCGCTTTGGGGTTGCCCCTCACGAATTTAAAACGCGTCAATAGTGGTGAAGAGCCTAGGCCTTATAAGGTACCAAGAACACTCCTATCCCACCGGTGTGGGATTCTTTGGCATTCCTACCGAAGAAGCGGGTTTAAGTTGCGCGATTTTCCCCGGCTCAAGGGATTAAAAGGCCCATACCTAACAACCCCCCCCCCCCCCCCACCGGTGCTGCCCCCTGGCTCTGATACCAATTGAAGGATCAATTCCACAACCGGGAGGCAGACTGCCGATATTGTCCGCTTTGGGTTGCCCCTCACGGATTTAAAACGCGTCAATAGTGGTGAAGAGCCTAGGCCTTATAAGGTACCAAGAACACTCATAGCCCACCGGTGTGAGATTGTTTGGCATTCCTACCAAAGAGGCGGGTTTCCCTGGCTCAAGAGATTGAAAGGCCCATACCTAACAAAATGAAAATTAAAATCTTCTTTTTATTCTATTAAGTGTTCACTTAAGTCTGAGCTTTGATGTTTGGAGCGATTAGAACTCTAAATAAATGTTTATGACTTGTTGACTTTTTGACGTTTTCATGTGGTAGAAGCTAAACTATGTGTAAATTCTTACACACAAAAATTATTCTAGGAACCGATAAAAGCAAGAACCGAACCGTTTAGTACTGGTTCGGTTCCATATCGGTTCTATATAGGAACCGAACCGATTTCATTTGTTAAAATTTAAATAACGGTTCCACTATTTTTTAGTAAGAACTGAACCGGTCCCAAACCTAAATAAATGCATTGACGAAATGTGTTGTCAGTGAATCGAATGCATGCATTATAATTGATCGTGTCTTAACGTTGGCGGCAAGTGCAATAATTATGACAAGTAGTGCACTAATGTAGATTTATAAAGTGGATGAGAAGAGATCTAATATTGACTAAAGTGCAGTATTTTTAATTGGACGAATAATAGTGTAAAATGTACTTTTTTAATAAGGGTATTTTGGTCATTGATCATTTTAATATAAATGAATTTTTCTTTTTATTTTTGCTGTTCAGTCATATAAATGTCTTAAAACATAACTAATCACATTTAGGGAAACTCAATATATTTTAGTCATATTCCATGAAATTTGGCTAATATCTTTAAAATCATATCAAAGTAGGAATCACTTGCCATTTAGCTTCCTCCAGTCTTGTCGTAATATTTTAAGCATCATTCTCTATAATGTCTCGATCCTAGATTCTTTACTCAACTGATTACTCCCTAACTCTAATTGCCTCCATGATTCTTAGTGATCAGTCTGTTGTGCAAATGTCCCAACTACCTCTAATTTCAAGCCACCTATCCCCAAGCTCTTCTCCTCTAATATCTTGATTCCATCTCTCTTGAAGCTCCCACCCATAGATCTGGTATCCTCAGCTGCCCACCAACCTGATAGGACGGCTACCCCAATATTAATCACCTAATCAATACGTAGTATTAATAATCAAAAACATAAATATTTCATACTACATTATACTCCACAAGAGGAATATGGAAATGATAGACCCTCCTCTTCCACCCTCCTGCAATCAACTTTGATCAATAATTTTTTTAATATAAGATTATTTTGAATATCATTTTTTGAATATAAGATTATTTTGAATATGAAACTATACCGTATAACCAAATGTTCTTGATTCAAGATCATTGTCTAAAGTTTGACACCAAGAAAAGTCAATATATCTATAATACTGTTCGTTATCAAAGTGTGTTTTATGTTTACGAGAGGTTACTTTGAAGATATCTGATGCATCTGATGAACACATCCAACAAATTCAACCATCAGAAGCTGAAATTGAGGACTCTAATTCCTCTGATGCATCTAAGGTTGCATTTGCTTATATGCATTCTATTTAAGCAAATGTGCAAGAGCTTTCCTTCATCATCAGGAATCAAATCACAGAGGAACTTTTTCTGGTGGAAGTAACTCAACCGGAGGTGGAAGTTCAAATCCCAACCCCACCACCGGTCATTCCCGAGATTGAAGCACCCTTCCCCGATCTTCCCAACTTTTCAAGTAATTTCGACAATTGTAAAATACAAATGGATTAAATAAGAAAATTTATGGACTAAATATTTACCATTTACCGGACCAACTCAAAATAAACCAGAAAATTAAAAGATTCTCACTGGAATCAGAAAATTACATCCTATTTGGCAATAGATGAACAAGAGTCACTCAGGTCAGGGTAGAACCTCCCTTTTTTATACATTTCACAAAGTAATGTAAAGAAAGAAAAAGTAATAGTATATATTCTCTTCATTTCTTGACAAGGAAAAAGAGACCAGAGGCATGAGTAATGAAAGATCATACATAGCTGCCGGAGAAGAACTTCATTGTCACTCCGGACAGTTTACGGCCCAAAGGAGACAAGAAAAGAGCAACCTTTGGCAGAGCCGGGTAGGTGAGCGTTCCCAGTATAAACCAGTTGAAGCAGAGGAGAGCAACCGCCTCTGAAGCCGGCTTGTTTTTTATGGCGAAGAAGAAGCCCACGACGCTGCTCAGTGACATCGCCACCACCGCGAATAAGGCAACCACGAGCGGCCCGCAAGGGTCTTCGGCGGTCCACACCGTCGTCCCCACCACCACGGATAACCCCGCGCTGAAAAGACTCTTCACTAGCGCTGCTTTTCTTCTTTGGTGATGTTGGGCTTGGGCCGGGTCAAGGCCCACTCCTACCTCTTGCTCGACAAGTTTATTATTGTTATAAGTAATGTTTTTGCTGGAACTGGCGGGAAAATGATCCCTTTGGCTCCAACGTGCTTTCCCTCGAATCTCCTTCAACTGTTGGTTTTCTCCTTTCAGACCCCGGAGCTATTGTGGAGTTTGAAAATCAAAAAATAAAGGTTCCAAAAATTGGTTAGGTAGCCATGTTGTGTATTGTAATTCTCTATATACTATTCAGCAATTTTGAATGCTAAAAGAAGAAGAGTTCCGAATATATACCTCCTCCTCCAGCTGTTCGTTCTTGAGAAAAGCCTGATCGAGTTCATCTTCGAGTTCCCTTAACATTAAGGCCATCATCTTGTGTTCATTGACGGCCACACTTAGTTGTTTCTCCAATCTCCTTCTTTCCCCGTTCACTCTCTCCAACTCTATTTGCATTTCTTGCAATTGCATTTCAAGCTGCATCCAAAAATGCTTTTATTTTCGTGGCATGTTTTTTCGTCATTTCATGAACCGAGTCACGAATAGGTAGTAAAAGATAAAAGTGTTCTCACTGTTTTTTCATTTTGAAGAGCGTTCAACAAACGCATAGGAAGGGTAAAAGTAGCAAAGGCCAAAGTAATGACACTCCAAAAGATGCTAAGATGGAGGGAGATAGCGTTTCTGAGAAGCTCGATGCAAGTTAGGACGACAATACCACAGCTTTTCACGCACATAGTGATCAGTGGAAGCGGCTTTAATAGCAATAACAACACACTTATCATCAACTCTATTAACCATTCCATCATCAGATCATCTACTTCTTTCACCCCAACTAATTAATTACCATTCGCCAACTGTAACTATAATTTGCACCCTGCCACCTGCACACATACAAGTAAACTAGAACATCTTAATTCACCCATAGCATCTACTCTGACCCGCTCGGTCGAAACTCATCTCAGATTCACATTGGGGCCGGGGGTTAGGCCCTTCAGATACCTACTATAACCCGGCCCTGCCAATCCTAAGCTGGATAATTATGTCATTTCAAAAAAAATCTAATCGAAAACGATCTTAAAATTGACCGATTGGTTTGGTTTTCTGTTTCAAAAAAATGCTAATCAAAAAAGATCTTAAACTGACCGATTGGTTTGGTTTTCTGTTTCCGGAAACAAAGTAAAAGCTTGAGCCAAAAAATTGTTGAATTGTATGAGACATCTCGGGAAATAACTATTTGGAAAGTTTCCGTGTTTTGAATTAGATCTTAGAATCATACGTATAGCAGTGCAAATAAAACCCCACAAAGACAACAATGGTGAAAACATAAATGATGTGAATCATGACATATACAAGAAATAAACATACACCAAAGATAAAGAGGGAGAGAGGGAAATGCTTTACTTAGCCAAGGAGAGGAGTGGGAAGCAAATGAAGATATCGAAGTGAAATTGTGTGAACTGTGAAGGGATGGGAGTAGTGTGGTGAGTCAAAGGGAAGGGAGAGTTTGAGAAATTAAAGGGAGGGGCGAGCGAAGTGGCGTTACATAATCTTGACACGCTTATGTCGAAGGTGACACGTGTTTAAGAGCTTTATCCTTGATTAAGTATGCAAAGGGGCAAGCGGTTTATAAATTTTGTATTTTTTCCCTATAAAAATTCTTGTGCTTGCAAATTATAGATTGAAGTGTTATATATTAATATTCAAATAATTATAATACCAAATATAATTATAATTTTATTTATAGATTGAAGTGTTATAATTTTGTATCAAGAAAATAAATTTGACTTTACTTTGAAGTGCACTGTTTGTTTTGCACTGTTCAAACACTGTTTTGAACTGTTCAAACATTGTTTGACACTGTTTTGCACTGTTTTGGTGTAGATAATTTGCCAAATAAGGAAAGTAAGGAAGTGTGAACTTAATTTAGGGACTGCCCGAAAAGGAAAGTGATAACTTAATTGGGGGACAGGGGGAGTAGTGGGAATTCTAAATTTTGGGTTCTCCACACTCCTAAAGTTTTTTTAAAGATGGGCGAAATTTAAGATTCCTTGAGCTCAATGAGTTTTTGTTATTTACATCTCATCTCGAAATTCCGGCTCCCACCGACCACCTGTTGGAAACTGAACTTCTACTTTAAGTGTGCACACCTCCTAAAAGGGATTCCTAGCCATCCGGGTAGTAAGAAGCCCAAATAACCCGGGTAATATATACCAGCTACTCCTCAAAGGGATATACTCTCTGAGTGACTAGAAAACTACTACTGCGAACAGGGGCGGAGCCAGGACACTGGGCCGGACTGTGCCGGTACAAAGAATATTTTTAGAAAAAAAATTACACGAATTTTTTTACCTTGAAAATTAAGCCATTTTTAAAATTTAGGGTGGGCCATGGCCTAGGTTGACCCACCCCTAGCTCCGCCCATGACTGCGAAGTAAGAAACCCAAATAGCTCGGGTAATTTATACCAGCTACTCCTCAAAGGGATATACTCCCTGAGTGACTAGAAATCTACTACTACGACCACCAAATGACTTTTAAAGCCCTCATAAAAATAACGGAATGTCTACCGGATATTAATGATTAAATAATCCACAAACAAGACTACCGAATCCACCAAAAAGCAGTAGTAGCCTCTAACCACCCCCTCACAATTAACGGTCGTAAAAGAGACCGACACCACGTGTTTCTCTCGTGATTAAATAATTTTTATCTTTCAATCACAATTCATATTTCAAGTAATCTATAATTTAATTTTATATCAAATACTCAAATAAGTACAAGTAACATTCATACATAAATTTACGAGGTAAAAATATAATTTTGATTGACATTGAACTTACCTGTGACGCTTCTTACGCTCCTCTATTTCGTTTCTTCCCAATGATCACCTTTAATGTTATAGAGTTAGAGTTGCATACTCAGCATTTTATTCTCTTTTTTAATAATCTACCCAATATTAAATAATTTGTTTATATAGTTCGAAATTAATCAGTCCATTTTACGGAGTAACTTACTTAAAATCATACCTTCATCTATTTCATTCAATGTTCTATTCATATAAATTATAAAGTTCGTTTATATTACTCCGTTAATGTTGATCATTAAATCCATTTATCTTAACACGTCAATTATTTAGTTAATCGTCTTATATGATAGTATTATGTTTATTATCCCATTATTAAAGGATCATAAGGTATTTAGTTAAATACCTTTAATTTTATTTGTATTGAATCGTTATAAATCATTATTATTATTATTATTATTATTATTATTATTATTATACTCCGTATTAGCCCAATAATAACTTGACATTCGATCTACCAAGTAATTTATCTTAATACATCAATTATTTAGTTAATCGTCTTATATGATAGTAGTATGTTTATTATCCAATTATTAAAGGATCATAAGGTATTTAGTTAAATACCTTTAATTTTATTTGTATTAAATCGTTATAAATCATTATTATTATTATACTCCGTATTAGCCCAGTAATAATTTGACATTCGATCTACCAACTAATCCTATTTTTTATTTTTCATTATTACTATTAGAGGTATTGTTATTATTATTATCAACTAGCTAGCCCATATGTTTTGGGTTTGAAGGAAGAAAAAATTGCCCTAAATAAGATCAAAACATTGTCAAAATCCCTAATTAGAACATTAACTTTATTATTTCCTAAATAGGACTCCATGTTGAAAAAATTGGGAGTATTTCAAATGAATAAAATATATAAAATTATTATCTCTATTATCTAATAATTAATCAATTTTATATTTTCATATATTCCATATAAAGTTAATAAATGGTTCATTATTGAGCTCTCAAAGTAATAACGTTACAATAGTTTTGGACTTAAAATTAGTATTATTAAATAATATAAGTACTCCTAACGGTTGTAATAGTTAGTGAGACTTGAAGGAGTTTTCAACATTAACTTATCCTATTTATTTTTTGAACGTTAACACCGTAACGTACGAGCATGCAACAACGTTCATGCTAGTGTTTGTATATATATATAAGTTTGCATGGAGCTAGAAAGATGGTGAGAAATATACAAGATAAAAATTCCTTCACACAACATTTCTCTGCTGGATTAATTTTTTATTTACTCTCGTTGTTCTGTTACCGGCTTACGTCGAAGAGCTCGTTTAATCTTGGGGAAAGGTTTTCGCTAGTCGGAAATACTTTCTTGAGGACAGCGTTCACACGACTCGAGCTATATATTTCCAACTCTTTTTGCAGGTTTATCCGACCAATACCACCATCAATCTCAAGAAAGTAAATGGCGTCGGATACTCCTGCACACATGATCTCACAAGGTGTCGTCATCGCACTCATCGCGACTATGTTATTTTTGCATGTGCGGTGCGATTTAGACTGGTATTTGCATATATCTCTACGTATAATGCTTACTATCTTTATTTTCCTTCTTACAATAAGCCATACTTTAACACCATTTTTTAAGAAAAAATGATATTCTTTCATTTAGTGGTAAAATGACAACTATGGAAAACAACAACCCACTCAAATCAAGTTTAAACTTGGTTTGTAGTGATGATAATATTATTGCGGTTGTTTCTCAAAGTTGTGAAACTAATGATGTGAATGAGTGGGTGGTAGACTCCGGGGCTACCAAGCATATTTGTAAAAACAAAAATGCTTTTACCTCTTATACTATTATAGGAGATGATGAAGAGCTCGTGTACCTAGCGGACTCTAAAACCGTTAAGGTGCATGGAAAAGGGAAAGTTATTCTGAAGCTCACATCAGGGAAAACTTTATCACTAAATGATGTGCTGCATGTGCCCGAGATTCGGACTAATTTGGTTTCCGTTTCTCTCTTGGGAAAAGTTGGGGTTAAAGTTTCTTTTGGTTGTGACAATTTTGTTATGACAAAAAATGACGTTCTTGTAGGAAATGGCTATTGTAAGAATGGACTTTTTGTGTTTAGTATTTCTGAAATATTGCATGATAATGCTTCAGTTTATTTAATTGATTCTTACAATGTGTGGCATGCTAGACTAGGACATGCAAGTAATTCTTATATTAAAATGCTAAATGATTGTGGTTTGATTTCTAGTAAAAATAAAATGACACTAGAAAAATGTGATGTTTGTGTTCAATCTAAACTAACCAAAAAACCTTGTCCCTCCACATATAGGGAATCTGAATTGCTTAGTTTAATTCACACGAATTTAGGTGATTTAAAAACTACCATCACTAGAGGTGGCAAAAAATATTATGTCACCTTTATAGATGATTTTTCTAGATATACTAAAGTTTATCTGCTTAAAAATAAAGATGAGGCTTTTGATAAATTTTTAGTGTATAAATCCGAGGTAGAAAATCAATTAAATAAAAAGATTAAGAGAGTTAGATCGGATAGAGGGGGTGAATATATTTTATTTAATGAATTTTGTGAAAAAGAAGGGATAATTCATGAGGTCACTCCACCATATTCACCTGAATCTAATGGAATAGCTGAAAGAAAAAATAGGACACTAAAAGAGATGATGAATGCTCTTTTAATTAGTTCCGGTGCACCTGATAATCTTTGGGGGGAGGCTATTCTTTCTTCTTGTCATTTACAAAATAGGATTCCTCGTAAGCACAATAAGAAAACCCCTTATGAATTGTGGAAAGGTTTTGCACCTAATTTGAAATATTTGAAAGTGTGGGGGTGCTTAGCTAAGGTCTTGTTGCCTGATCCTAAGAAGAGGAAAATTTGTTCTAAGACTTTTGATTGCATGTTTATTGGTTATGCTGAATCTAGTGCTGCCTATAGATTCCTTGTTTTGCAAAGTGATGTGCTTGAATGTGATACAATTGTTGAAACAAAAAATGCTGAATTTTTTGAAAATGTGTTTCCTTTGAAACGTGAACACAAGACCATTGCACCATATAGTGAGTATGATCCATTACAAGGAAATGAAACCTTTAATGATAATTCCTCTAGTGATTGTGATCCATTAAAAGAAAATGATACTTTTAATGATGAACCTTCTCTTTTGAGAAGAAGTAAGAGGCCAAGGATAGAAAAATCTTTTGGAAATGATTTTTATACATATCTTGTTAATGATGAGCCTTTAACTTATTCACAAGCTATTTCTTCAAAAGAAGCTCCATTTTGGCTTGAGGCCATACAAAACGAAATTGAGTCAATCAAACAAAATAAAACTTGGGTTTTAACCGATTTACCAAAAGGTTGTAAACCAATCGGATGCAAATGGATTTTTAAAAGGAAATTAAATCCGGATGGTTCAATTGATAAATATAAAGTGAGGCTTGTGGCGAAAGGTTTTTCTCAAAAACAAGATGTTGATTATTTTGATACATTTGCACCAGTAACGCGTATTTCTTCCATTCGAACTTTAATTGATTTGGCTTCTATTCACAAACTTTTTGTCCATCAAATGGATGTTAAAACTGCGTTTTTAAATGGTGAGCTAGAGGAAGAAATTTATATGGTGCAACCGGAGGGTCATGTAATTATTGATCAGGAACACAAAGTGTGTAAGTTGATCAAATCTTTATATGGTTTGAAACAAGCTCCA